AGGACATAAGAAGTATCCATTGTTGTGACAGAAGGGGTTTGTTAGGACATAAGAAGTATCCATTGTTGTGACAGAAGGGGTTTGTTAGGACATAAGGAACATTCATTGTTGTGACAGTAGTAGTTTGTTGGGACATAAGGAGCATCCGTTGTTGTGACAGTAGTATTTTGTTAGGACATAAGGAACATTCATTGTTGTGACAGTAGTAGTTTGTTGGGACATAAGGAGTGGGTCATTACCACGTGATAAAAATTATATGTCGTAATGACTTGTTGTTATGGTGGCTCTCTTGTCTAATATGCGAGAAGTTTTATCTATCCGTAGGGTCTATGTTATCTGGTACTAACAAACCCCTTCTTTCACAACGGTGGATGCTGCTTATCTCCTAACAGAATACTGCTGTCACAACAATCAATGTTTGTTTTGTCCTAACAAACTACTACTGTCACAACAACGGATGCTCCTTATGTTTTAACAAAATACTACCATCACAACAATGGATGCTGCTTATGTCCCAACAAACTGCTACTGTCACAACAATGAATGCTCCTTATGTCCTAACAAACCCCTTCTGTCACAACAAGGGATGCTCGTTATGTCCTAACAAAATACTACTGTCACAACAACGGATGGCTGAGAGCTACCACATGTGATACTGATCTAAGTATGACCCAGCTGAGAGCTTCCACATCTGACACTGATCTAAAGGAATGTTAACATAGTATGTAAAGTTCAATGTCACAGGGATAAACATTCAAGTTGTGGGAAAAATTTAATAAAACATTGAGTTACATTCCTTATAAATAAGTAAAGTGTACTTTTGTTTATTACAGAACTTGGGACACATTAGAAAAAACACAATCATACCAGTTTGTGATGGCTTTATTCAAATCAAAGTGTAGTTCAATAGAATTTTGGCCCAGAACTCTTCCACGAGAAAATAGACGTCCTCCACCTCTTGTTTTCAGGACAATTTTCAGTTGAAAATTACTGTGATCTGTAGTCATCATATCAAATTCCAGGCTAATAAAAAACAAACCCTAATCAATTACACACTACTCACAGAAAAATCTGTTGTTTCTAACCAAATTATTCAGTGACAAAATCCATAAGAAGGACCTTATTATGAGTATCATGCAGCTAAAATTTAAGCTTTTAAACACTCTTTAATTAAAAAATACAAAAAAAATCTGATAATAATGAAGATGAAAATAGTTGATAAAAGGTAGATTCATTACTAGCTGAAGATGTGGTACTTTTGTACATAAACATACACAATATAAACTACTAATCAAGACCACAGCTCACAGTGGCTATGACTGTGACTCCAGCTGTATCTAAGCTCACAATGTCTAAGACAGTGATTTCAGCTGTATCTAAGCTCACAATGTCTAAGACAGTGATTCCAGCTGTATCTAAGCTCACAATGTCTAAGACAGTGATTCCAGCTGTATCTAAGCTCACAATGTGTAAGACAGTGATTCCAGCTGTATCTAAGCTCTCAATGTGTAAGACAGTGATTCCAGCTGTATCTAAGCTCACAATGTGTAAGACAGTGATTCCAGCTGTATCTAAGCTCACAATGTGTAAGACAGTGATTCCAGCTGTATCTAAGCTCACAATGTCTAAGACAGTGACTCCAGCTGTATCTAAGCTCACAGTGTCTCCAGCTGTATCTAAGCTCACAATGTCTAAGACAGTGTCTCCAGCTGTATCTAAGCTCACAATGTCTAAGACAGTGATTCCAGCTGTATCTAAGCTCACAGTGTCTATGGTATTGACTCTAGCTGTATCTAGCAATTATCTTGTAAGTGTTCCATCAAATTAGCAAAGATACCACATATGTGACAACATGAACGTATTAAAAACGAAAACATGGAAACATACTAATCAGTGTTATTCTATAAACTAAAGAATTGTAATTAAAAACACGGTAACTTTTCAATCTAGAAATTTATTGAAGACGCTGGTCACAAACTTTGTTTTTAGTGGTTTTCATTAAGACATGTTAGTCCCTTAAAATAAAATACTAATTGCTTTAGCTTCACATAAACAAATACTCTAATTAAACTTTTGCAACATGCAATAGAACTTAGATTATTTTACTTACCTCTGAATTAAGTCATTGTCATCTACTCACAATAGTCCTTATATATAGATTTATATTTCAAGTTTCACCAATTCAAGTTATCTTTTTTTTAACATGTTGCATATCTCAATAAATTTTTATCTTCCCCAAGGTTAAATAACCAACTTTTTTAAACTTTATTTACATATGTTTACTTTTACCAACTTACGCTTTATCAAAAACTAGACTAGCAGCTCCTCTCAGGAAATGTGTTTTCTGTTTTTGTTCTGGAAAAGATTCTGATAGAACAGACACCTTCACACATAAATCTTCATTCTCACAGACCACACCACTGAAACATTTTAAATGCAAAGAAAGAGCTAACATTAATACCCGTGTCTATTTTACAGATAATAGTTCTTTTACACTAACTACTTAATTCTTCTTACGATGACTTTTGTATAGTTAAATAGAATCTTTTTCTGAAGTTATCATGTAAAAGTCCAATGCAGTGTAATTATTGTTCAAATTTGTATCTTATACTAATGTACCTAACCAATGATTATCAAAATATGACACTTTTGTTACTCAAATCATTATATAATAACTTAGGTAATAATTAACTTATCAACTCCTTCTATAACCAAAAAACCACAGTTAACACATGAAGCACTTAGTAACCTGATGAACAACCACGATTAACACATGAAGTACTTAGTAATCTGATGAACAACCACAATCAACACATGAAGTACTTAGTAACCTGATGAACAACCACAATCAACACATGAAGCACTTAGTAACCTGATGAACAACCACAATCAACACAAGAAGTACTTAGTAATCTGATGAACAACCAGTCAACACATGAATCACTTAGTAACCTGATGAACAACCAGTCAACACAAGAATCACTTAGTAACCTGATGAACAACCAGTCAACACAAGAAGTACTTAGTAACCTGATGAACAACCACAATCAACACATGAAGTACTTAGTAACCTGATGAACAACCACAACACAAGAAGTACTTAGTAACCTGATGAACAACCA